GAGCAGTATAACCACAGAGAAAACCACAAGGGCACATCAGAATTGGATTGCTAAAAACCAGAGATGAAAAGAAAAATCTTTAAAGCAGCTGGTGGGGAAAAGACTCATTACATAAAAACAAAGATAAGAATGATTAGAGTTCTCTTTAAAAACTGTGCAAGTCACAGTGCAGTGGGATCAAATCTTTCAAAGCACTCAAAGACAAAAATCCTGTATCCACCAAAAATATCTTTCAAAAATGAAGAGAAGATACTTTTAGACAAACAAAAGCTCCAAGAATGCATTGCCAGCGGACTTTCACTGTAAGAATTATTAAAGGAAGTTCTTCAGGCAGAAATATGGAAATTTACATCTAGCCAAAGAACTTATGAGCTCTATAAATGATAAATATGTGGGCGAATATAAATGACATTTTCTTTCTCATCTCTTAATTTCTTTAAAAGATAACAGGCTGTTTAAAGCAAAAATAATAATGTGGAATTTGTAACATGTGGAAGTAAAATGTATGCCTTCAGTAGCACGAAGGATGGGAGCAAAGAATTGGGAATATGTGTTGTAAGGCGTATACATCATGTGTCAGGTGGTATAATATTATTTGAAGGTAGACAATGATAAGTTAAAAAATGCATACAGTAAACTCTAAATCAGTTGCCTGGAAAAAACACACAAAAACCAAAGGGGTTTAAGTAATAAACCAATAATGGACTTACTCCCGGAGAAGACAGGAGAAGAGGAAAAGGAACAAAAAACAAATGGAACAAATAGGAAATGACTAGTGAGATGTAGATTTAAACTCAACAGTATCGATAATTACATTAAATATAATCTAAACACCAGAATTAATAGCCAGTGATTGTCAGACTGGTTAAAAATTTCAAAACCCAATTAAATGCTGTTTATAGGAAACTCACTGCAATTGTAATACACAAATAGGTTTAAAAGTAAAAGGATCAAAAAATATCTCCCATACAAATATTAACCAAAAGTTAGAGTGGCTATATTAATATCAGACAAAGTAAGCTTAGAACAGGAAAATTATCAGGGGCAAAAAGGGGCAATTCATAATGATAAAGAGGTCAGTTCATCAAGAAGGCATATTGCTCTTAAATGTGTGTACAACTCAAAACAGAACTCAAAATATACAAAGCAAACTTGACGAAACTGAAGGAAAAAATAGATCAATCCACAGTTATAGTCGGGGATTTCTACACCCCTCAGTAATCGGCAGAGGAAGAAGACAAAATCAACAGGAATTAGAAAATATAAACACTATTAACTTAACCCGATTGCCATTTATAGAACACTCCATCTAATAGCTGGAGTGCACATTGTTTAAAGTACACTTAAAACACCCATCATACTGTTTTTGGTACAGCCCTCTAAGAATGGTTTTTCCATTTTCGAAGATTGTTCAAAAACAAAGATGACGAAAGACCACACATGGCCTGCAAATCCTGAAATATTTTATATCTGCATTTACAGAAAAAGTTTGCCAACCCCTGTCATGACATTAGGCCAAGTGATAGAAGTCTCACACAAAAGATGTGCTATTAAACGTGCAACTCGAGGAAAGACCAGTCTAGTTGACAGTGATGGAAAGCAGATCAGTAGTTGACTGGGAGGTGGGGGGGATAGGCAAGAAAGGGACCCAAGGGGACCTTTGCGGCCATGGTGGTTGCAAGTGTGTATACATTTGTCGGAAGAACTATCATAAGAGGAACTCTTGCACGTTGAAGATGAAATTATCCATTTCAGTAGGAAAATTTAAATACGTTACTGGTCTTCTAGAATTACATCTGTTTATGCATCAGCTCCCACTAAAATGGACAAAGTTATATCACTAGTTAGATACCATTATCCACAAACAACACACCAGCACAATTTGCTGTATTAATTATTCTCAAATAACGGCTGTCTCCTTGCTAATTGCAGCTCTTTTATCACCGTTACCTCTGCTACACTTAAACTGTGCTCACAGAGAGGGTACATGAGACACTATGTAACGGAGCCTTTGATGCGTGCACACGTAAACTTTAGACAGAATAGTGAAAAATGGAAGAAATCAGTGAAAACCATCCGGTTGGGGCATGAGATTATCACAGGTAGAAACTAGCAAAATACAGTTAGAGTGCATGCCAGCTGTACAGCTTCAAAGACAGCCACATGAGGGCTCTTTTTGCCAGCACTGAGCTGTTGGTGAGGCAAGAGAAATCCAAATTGATCTCCCTGACGTGAGGAAATACTCATAAGCAGAAATATAGGTGTTACATGAAGCTTTTTGTAACAGTGAATTCTTGTAACCTGAAACTGAATGGGTATATCTCAGGACATGAGCATTTTGCAGCCAGTGATTTTGGGGGCTAATATTTTATATTGACATATCAAACAGAATCATTAAACTTCTTTTAAACTGGTCTTTATCAGCGTAAGGGTCAAAGTTTATTTTGGAAGTATTGTGGGAGTGTTAAAATTACTTCTGTAAAATGACGAGCTGGTTCATTTTTACATTCGTTGGGACCGTAATGAGAACAATTGTCTTTTTACCAGCAGATCCACTTCTGACTAACTTGTTTTTCTACAACTGAAATTTTAAAAAGTTGTTTTTGGTTTTACCTCAATCTGAAAACCAAAGGAATTTGCCATGAAGTCATTTGTGAAATTTTAGAAAACTAGTCAAAATTTTTGGGTGCCTACCCAGAGTAAGTTAGAATAATACTTAATTTGGTGTTCCTTGTGAAATAATTTAAATTTGACTATAGATATTATATCTGGAGAGTTGACCAAGTTTTAAACTCCTTTAAATTAAGGCACAGGGAGGCGTGTTTTAACTAATATAAAATGTGTTTTGTTTCTTTGTAGGGAATTCACTATTGAAACTGAAGGGAAAACATTTCAGTTAACAAAAGACATGGTCAGTGTGAAGAGATTCCAGAAAACACTGCATGGTAAATTTGTAAAAATAATTAAAAGTCATTACTCATTAAAGCTTTTTAAAAATGTTTTTATAACATAACTATTTTATAGAAAAGTTGAAGAGAAAAAAAATCCTTAATGCCACAACTATAAATTTGGTGAATATGTTTAAGACATTCACTTGGGCCTTTTTTCTTCTTAAACATAATTGTACTGAAAAATAATTTATACTACCACCTTTACATTTTCTGTGGCCTGAGGTGCATATGAAGAATATTTCTTTTTTTTTTTTTTTTTTTTTTAGACAAAGTCTCACTGTGTTGCCCGGGCTAGAGTGCCGTGGCGTCAGCCTAGCTCACAGCAACCTCAAACTCCTGGGCTCAAGCGATCCTCCTGCCTCAGCCTCCCCAGTAGCTGGGACTACAGGCATGCACCACCATGCCCAGCTAATTTTTTCTATATATTTTTAGTTGGCCAATTAATTTCTTTCTAATATTAGTAGAGACGGGGTCTCGCTCTTGCTCAGGCTGGTTTCGAACTCCTGAGCTCAAACAATCCACCCGCCTCGGCCTCCCAGAGAGCTAGGCTTACAGGTGTGAGCCACCGCGCCCGGCCAAGAATATTCCTTTGATTAAAATATTTTTCTTTTGTTTGTTCATTGTAAGAAAAAGTCCTTTTGTTTCTTAAGCAAAAACTCACCCCCCTGTCTTTTTTGGCAAAATAACTTGTTAAGAAGTCATTTAGAGCTGGGTGTGTGGCCCTTGTGCCAAAAAGAAAAAATCATTTAGATGAGTGATCTTTCATGCTTTTTTAAAAGCTAAAGAGATTATTTTTTGTGGAACAAATTCTACGAATTGAGTAATGAGTATTTTGGAACATATATGAAGTATGCTGATGGTTACTTGTGACTGAATTGAAGCTCCTGGAAACAGTGGTGGGTGTTTGAGAAGCTGCTGTCAGTGGAGAGAGTAGACCTACCTTTCCATTGTCCTTGGCCTGCCCTGTAGCCAGGCTTCAGTGAGCAGTGGTAGGAGTGAGCAGGGGCTGCTTCTGCATGCTTCGGGGCTTTGTGGTCATCGTCCTGGCACCTGGTTCAGAGCTATACCTCACCATTGCTTGGATGCCGTGGAAGGATGGGTGGAAAATGCCTCGATCACATTGCTAAAATATTCTTACTCTTTATCCCAGATGAAAGAAACAGCCTCTCTCCCCCCCACATATGTGAGTTTTGGTTCTAATTATCTCATTTCCCGTAAAACAGAAACTCTCCAAGGTAATGGTCAGTTACCTTAGACCTGGACGGTGCTTAGTTGTGCTTCCTTTTCAAAGAATAGGGAATAATTATCAATATATTTTCTGTGTGTACCACAGGTATTGTCTCATCCATGGGGCCCCTGGTAAAGATGTCTTTGATGTCCCCAAGCAAACTCTTTGCTGAGGGCCTCCTGACCCCTGAACCTTGGGGACACAGTGCCAGTAACTTGGCTCTTAACAAGTTCTCATCAAGATAACAAGCTCAAAAAGTAAAACAAACACAAACCGTGTGGTACTTTTTCCATGTAGGAATTGTTTTTGTTAATTTTTCCAGCTATGGTAGATTTTTAATTCTAACAAAGTCTTACTAAAAAAGCTTTAAATTTTTTATGCTTTCTAGATAGGCAAGGCAGCTAATAGGGTATAGCTAATGTTTGTAGCTTACCAACTGGGAAAGGAATTCTCTGGTAACTCATTTCATTTTTATACTATGCAAACAATTAAATTTGGTGAAAATTTCTTTCACTCTTTCTCTTTAAAAGGTGTGTTTCCTGTCAGCAAATAACTTTTATGTATGTTCTGATTTTCTTTTCCTGATGTGCAGAGATCAGAATCCATCTAGGGCCAGGCGTGGTGGCTCACATCTATAATCCCAGCACTGTGAGAGGCTGAGACAGGAGGATGGCTTGAGCCCAGGAGTTTGAGGCTGCAGTGAGCTATGATCAAGCCACTGCACTCCAGCCAGGTTAACAGAGCGAGACCCCAAAAGATCCATTTGGAATAGAGATATTTTTAGCGCTACGAATTGTTTAGAAAGGATCTGAAATGTATTATGTGGTATTCGAGAGAATGATGTTGAATTTCTCTCTCATTTGCAGTGGAAGAAGTTGTTCCGAATGTAATTGAACCCTCCTTTGGCCTGGGCAGGATCATGTATACGGTATTTGAGCATACATTCCATGTACGAGAAGGAGATGAACAGAGAACGGTAGGTTGTCCTGTATGGTGTGCTGTTCTTTTATGTCAGAAAATAAAATTTACCGAAGTACATTAATAAGATTCTGGAATGACTGATTAGTTATTATTTACTGTAACATATTCATGATGTTACTCATCTTCGCTTAACTATTACAAACCACTTTCATATGTAATCTTATTTGAGCTTTAGGATGTATAGGTTATTCTGGAAGCTATCGTTTCAGTTGCCTGGTGCTCTCTATTTTGAGACCAAATGTATAACTTTGGGTTGCAATCTATGTTGCATCAGTGGAAGAAATGGTACTTTCTGTGTATACACTTTTTCAGAAAATTGGGATTCATGAGATGGCTCATAGACTTTGGCTAAACCACCAAGCTGTAGCTATACTCCGGTAAAGCATTAAAGGGAAGCCTCTCAAACTGCATAAAATTGTCTAGGGTAGTTTTGGGGTAAAAATGTAAATTCCTAGTTCTATTCCAGGGATGGTGATTCATTGGTCTGAGACTCAGAGAGATGTGTGTGTGTGTTTAAATAAGAACCACAAGTGGTTCCAGTGTGGGAGCTTGACAGATCATAAATTGGGCGGTAGTATCCTAGCACTCAAGCATTGCTGAAGATAGAAGCTTATAAGAAGTCTTCATCAGCTCCCACATGTTTTCTTTGGCACTGCTGCCTCTGAATCACTGCTCCTTGCCTTCCACTTTATCTCCTTATTCTGCCTTACTTCACCACCTCACCTCACCTCTGCCTGCAGAAATTATACTCCTTTAATTTCTAGGCACAGATTTCTAAGAAAACCAATCAAAAGAGTGGATACAGGAGAGGTTATATATCTCAACTTAATTGAAAGAAACAGTCTTGGGCTGGGCGTGGTGGCTTACACCTATAATCCTAGTGCTTTAGTAGGCCAAGGTGGGAGGATCACTTGAGGTCAGGAGTTCGAGATCAGCCTGAGCAACATAGCAAGACCCCATCTTTATAAAAAATAGAAAAAATTAGCCAGATATGGTAGTGGGATACCTGTAAGTCTCAGCTACTTGGTAGGCTGAGGCAGGGGGATCACTTGCCCCCAGCAGTTTGAGGTTGCAATGAGCTATCACGATGCCACTGCACTCTAGCCCAGGCAACAGAGCGAGACTCTTTCTCAAAACAAAAACAAAATCAAACAAAAAAACCAAAAATAGAAACGGTCTCATCTGCTTGACCATTCTAAAGCTCGAGTGTCCATAACGTTGGACATCAATCCCGTGGTTCTTTCTAGGACATTTAACCTTGAAGAATGAACTGGTGAGTTCTTGGTGCCAGTGTTTTAAGAGATCTGACACATTATTGTAATGTATAGCTAATAAAGTTAGCATTTAATCCGCGCTGTAAAGTCGCATCTTCATTTCCTGATGTTGAAGGAACAGCTCTTCATTCATTCAACAGATAGTAAGAACCTGGAGTAGGCCCCACCTAGGCCATCATAAGGCTCGATTTTTCTTGGGGAATGATAACGTACATGATTGCACATGTTCTTTTTAGATGTTAAGTTTGCTTTAAGCCTTTTCTGCTTATTTTTCTGATAAAAATATTTTTTTATTGTTTAGCTGTTCCTTTGAATCTAACAATATTGATATAACTAGAGCTTTAATAGAAATTCTGTAAGGGCTAAACAAGAATGAATTAGTCACAGTGTTTTATGAATTCCCATCATGAAGAGAAATTTGATTAGGCTGTGGGAAGCCAAAAATGTTTCTAAATTATTAGCACCTAGTCCTTCAATCCATTTGCCTATAAATTTGGTATAAAAACGTTGCCAGTGAAATTTGAAAAAAGTATTTTCCTGTAAAGGCAAGTCCCTACTCCCTCTCTCATGTTAAATAAAATTATCACAACATGGAGGAAGGGAGTAGAATTCTGAACTTTCTGTGATATAGGCAGCTATATTGATGGAGTATGGGGTTTACTTATAATGGGATATTTTTCATTGCTTGGCATTAAAGGTTAATTAAGCTTTGAGTGGGGGGCTAAATTGGAACCTGTGTCATTCTTTATATTTATGGGATAAATTTTTCCCGTATTTTTGCCTTCAAGTGAACCTTTTATACAAGTATTATTTAAGAATTGCCTTCAGCTCTCATTTCCAACCCTAAATGGTAGGTTAGTTTGCCTTTCACAGAATATCTTTGCTTTCTTTGATCCTGAGTTACTCAGAAACCTATTTCAGGAGCAATTTAGGAAGGCTATACTTTTTTAGCATAGGTATACAGAACATCTTTCTTGGTTTTGTATTGTTTCTTTTGAACATATGTTTATGAGCTAATTAAACTTTTTTGTTTCACTTGGTCACTAAGACTCCTAGATTCTTCTTTTAAAAGACAGAATGGGATTTTGTGTTTTGGCACTACAACTTGTTATTTGATGATTTGTGGGGAGGTTCTTCAGGTGGTCTCCGCAGAAAGAAGTAAGGCTTTTATGTGGACCAAAACATTACCATCTTATATGTGTAGCTTTCAGAATGCTTTCACATTATTGGGCTTTTTTATAACAGACTTAAGGAGTAAGCAGAGCAGGTGGTGGAGACCTACTTTTTAGGTGAAGAAACTAAGGTTTGGAGAGAATTCTCTGAGTTGGTCCAAATTTATAGCTGAAACTGGGTATTTCTGATTCTGGTTCTCCTGTTTCTCTTTTGTCATACTGCTTTTCATACCATGTTTTCTGGCATTTTGATAGTGAAGTTATGCTTGGACATCCACCGAACATTAACCTCTTAGTTTGGGACATTAGCATTTCAATATTTATAAATTAATATATTTGGATTTCTTTCTTTTTAAACCATCTAGTTCTTCAGTTTCCCTGCGGTAGTCGCTCCATTCAAATGTTCCGTCCTCCCACTGAGCCAGAACCAGGAGTTCGTGCCATTTGTCAAGGAATTATGTAAGCAAATCCAATTGGGTAATCTCCATGGGAACACCATCAAGTAGACTGAATTTTAGGAAATGTATCATTGATTTCAATAAAATATAGATTGAATAAAGAATAAATCTGAGTGATTTTAGCCTGTGCTCTTGTTTCTGAGAGAGAGAGAGAGAGAGAGATTAAGCTTGCTCAGGATTTTTTATCCTAGCATTTGAATGAGTCAAGGTAGGACCCAAGAGTCAGTTTTAAAAATTACTGGCCTCTTATTTTGAACTCGGTGCTTATTTCATCAAGGGAACCCGAGTGGAGTGTAACAACTCTGGTGGATCCACAGCCACTGGATCTGCAGTGCCAAAAGGGAGCCTCTTGGTCATCTGGCGCGACCCACTTATTTCAGAGTCGGGAAATGGGAAGAGTCCACTGAGCTGCCAGGGCCGTACAAATAGAAGTGGTGGAGTCAGAACTGGCCTCTTGGCCTTGGCTCTTAGTCCAGCATTCATTCCCCTGAAGCTGTATCAGATGTGGGTTTGAGGGAAGGTTTGGGCTTCAGCAAGGGATTTATTAAAAATTCGGGGGCTTTTTCTTTCTCCTGCAAGTGCAACCTCTGCTGCTCTCTTGTGCTGGTCCCTTTTATAAGTTTCCTGAGCTTGTAAGACAGCATTTAGATAACATTAGACTTACTCCATTACTTTATTTTTAATTTACTTCATTTATTTTGGATAGCGGAAGCTCTGACCAGGAACGGTGTGTCTCACAAAGTAGACGATTCCTCTGGGTCGATTGGAAGACGCTATGCCAGGACCGATGAGATCGGTGTGGCTTTTGGCATCACCATTGACTTCGATACAGTGAACAGGACCCCTCACACTGCAACACTGAGGGACAGAGACTCGATGCGGCAGATAAGAGCAGAGGTATCCGGCATTCTCTTTGGTGTTTTTAGTCTTAGAAATGTTTACTGCTTCTTACTGATTTGAGTTAGATTTTGATAGATTTATGCTCTCTTTCCTCCCTTTTTTTTCTTTTTAATTTTGATTGTCTGATAGGCTTGTATCCAACAGAGTCCAGATTCCCGAGTCCTCTTGGTTTAATTATGGAAATACCCATTAGCACTTCTCTAATATTTTCTAGCCATTTGGACTGCTCTGGGCCCATTCTCCAGCAGCTGCTTTTAATGGTTGTTTGTTTATTGGGCAAGAGAAATAGGATCCCAAGACGTTGTTGACATAGTTTTATTGGCAGGCTTTTGGGGGCTTAGACATTATTATCTTTATATTTCTATAGAAACGTGTATGTGTGTATGTATAAACTTCTCTGTGTTAACCTATTCAAAACAGTGAGTAATATTTCGGTGATTTTACTCCACAGGAAGGGAATGATGGGGACGGGACTAGCACAGCAGGGGGAGGAGTGGATGGGAAAGGAGAGAGTGGCCACTTCAGTTTACAACTGCCTGACCCGTGTATTAACTTTGAACAAGTATTATATTTCTTTAGAGTGCCTGTTTTGTGCTCAGCTTGATACGGGTAGTAATAGGGAAAACAGAAGTCAAAGGCTGCTTTTTTCCGAAGGAGTTCGTAGTCTAATCCAGAAGTCATGGATTTCTGGCTTGTCTTTCTACAACCAGATCTGGCCACTCTGGACCTATGTGCCTATGTGGTGTTGTTCTCAAAGTGCGGGCCCCAGACCAGCAGCATCAGCATCACCTGGAAACCTGTTAGATGGGCAGAACCACCCCAGACCTACTAAGTCAGAAACTGGGGGTTGGAGAGGGAGAGGGGGCAGGCAGACCTCCAGATGATTCTGATGCACACGCAAGTTTGAGAACCACTGCCGTGTGCAGCCAGCATTGGCTGTGGCTGAGGAACAGCTGGCCCTTGTAGCAGGAGCTTTCTGGTTTGCTGATCTCTCCTGATCCCCTTCATACGTGTGACTTGACTGACTCCTGTTCTAAGAGTTAAATTTAACACATGTGAAGTAACTTCAAGTGACCCAGAGATTTAGGAAAGTTAGGAAAAGCCTTGTGGCAGAATTGAGTTATCCAGCGGAGCTGGTGGGCATTCTGGGTTGGAAGAAGAGCATGAACACAGGCTGGGATGACATTGTTTGGTTCTGTGTAAGGTTTCCTGAGTTCAGGGTGAATCCTCTTTTTGAAAATCTGAACAAGTTCGTTGATACTTAGTCTTCTCTTTTACTCCAGGTTTCTGAACTTCCCAGTGTGGTCCGAGATCTGGCCAGTGGCAGCATCACGTGGGCTGATGTGGAGGCCAGGTATCCTCTCTTTGAAGGGCAAGAGACTGGAAAAAAAGAGACAATCGAGGAATGAGGACAATTTTGGCAACTTTTGACCACTTGCAGTAATAAAAAAAATAACTCTTATCATGTCCACTTTGCAAAAGAAAACAGCATTGTGATTTTTCCCAGGGACTGCATTTTCTCCTCAGTGGCTGCCTGATTTTACCCAAACAATTAAAGTTGAAGGAATTCCGGACAAACTCGTAATCCATTGGCTCGTGTTTTCGGGTTCTCAGCAAAGCTGTTTCTCTCACCTTTGGGTAGACACGCTCACAGCTTAATGTTAAACACAATACTTTTTTTTAATTAACAGCTCTATTGGGATATAATTTACGTACCATAAAATTAGCCTGTTTTAAGTGTACAATTCAATGATGTTACAATTCCTTGATGTTTAGTATATTTACAGAGTTGCGCAACCACCGCCACAATCCGGTTTTACAGCCTTGCCTTCAATCCCCATTCCAACCTCAGCCCCACGCAACCACTCATCTGCTTTCTGTCTATAGATTTACCTTTCCTGTTCTTTCTCTTTTTCTGGGAAAATGATGCATCGTGCTAAAGAGTCAGCAGTCACTGAGTAGGTGGAATCGCTTCTGAGAAGGCCAAGGCGAGGATGGGGTGGCAGGCGTGGTGAAGAGGGAGGAGGTGATGCACTGGCATGGGGATACAAGGCTGCCGACCCCACCGTCGGCGTAGTCTCCAGGAGGGCCTGCGTCAACAGAAGCACCCTTTAATTTAAGTCGTGCTTGTACTTGGCTTCACTGGTAGCCCTGAAAATCACTGAGCTCCGGCTGCTAAAGGAACTCCGTCTGTCTGGTCTCACTTAGCAATTTTCTACCATCCCAATGTCTTGATTCTAGCCTAGTATTTTTTGGCTCAGCTTTTAAGGTACTTCTGTTATGGTTTTGTTACAACACTCAGAAGATGTATGCTTATTTGTAAGGAAAAAATTCAAGGATGTGTGAATTTGAACAGCTACTTACTTGCAGAGTTAGGACCTTGTCTGATATCTGGACCTAGTCTGATACAGTATTGGGTGGAAGAGTCGTGATCTCCAAAATATTTCCCTTTGTCTAGGGTATGAAGAACAGTTGAAGTTGTCATTTCTTAAAAGCAAAATAAGAATCCCCAGGGATTCTCCCATTTGTATCTTATCTCCAATGGTGACTGCCGCAGTCCTGGACATAGAAGATTTTCAATAAATAGTCTTTAGATAAGTCTTAGATTTTCGAACAAACCTCTTTGGGAAGAAAGTCTTATACTAAAGCTCATTTCTCTTCTGACTGGTACTTTTGGAAGCATTTGTTATTAAATTAGAAAGAATTAGATATTAAATAAACTGAATTTTCATTTTCTAGGGATTCCTCTCACTTCTAATTCCTTATGATATAGCTCATAACTGGGCATATGTTCTAGCAGTGTCACCTGGGGGGGCGGTGTCTTTACTTCTTCCCATTTATTTACTTCCTTTTACAGCATGACTGCCTCCGTAGGCAAATGGTCACCACCACCTCAGACACTGTTATGCTTATTAGGGGAAGAGATATTAAATACATAGTGGAATTTACCTACTTTGGATCATAAAGGGATTGAAACCAAAGCTCTCTTCGGTTTTCATTGGCAAACATCTTTGTTATGAGGTAGAGGCTGGATATTGAACCCGGAAGCCCTCCCTTTCTCTGTTCTTCTTTCTAGGTGGCAATACATGATTTCTTCCCAGAGAACACCTGCTCTAAAGTAGGTTTCTAAAGTGATCGATCACCTGAGTGAGGAACACAGGCCAGTAGCCTGGGTCTGTTTATATTACGTTTGCCTGATTGTAAGCACAAGCAGGCCAAGAGCTGTTTTTTAAATGAAGAGGCTCTTTAGACACGAGGGTTTACATGTGCGTATACACACGCTTCTTCTGTGCAAGCCCAATGTCTATTTAAAGCCTGGATCTTTCTGGCTTGATGCTCTGTGAGGCCTTTTTTGTTATTTATGTATTTGTGTTCATGGAACTGGGGACTAGCCAAACAAGAGCTAGATAAATAGCATTACTTCCCCAAAAAATAGTGATGGGAGGGTCAGATTCTAACTGATTTCCACGGAATGTAGGTAAGAACACAGTAGTTAGATTCTTTAAAACTTAGGTTGGAATTCAGGGCATTCAGTCAAATATAATGTGGACTTATATCTAGAGAGAGCAGTCTGTGCCTGGTTCTGCAGGATTTCAGCACCTTAATATTGCTTAACAGCTCATAATAGGAAAATACTGAATGTAGACAGATGTTCCAGAAAAGGAATTCATCACCAAGTCCTATAAATATAGAAATGATCTTACTATTTTCATGAAGTGGTACTAGAGATGTCAGATGTCCCAAGTTCTTTGTGATAAGAGCTTGGCAAAATTATTTTCTTCAACAATAAGTCACTTAAAATAGATTCATTCTAGACCCTTATTTACTGTTCCCTTAATCAGTGTAATCTCAGGGTAATGGCAGTGACTGTCTTAGTCAGTGGAGTCTATTCCTGAAAGGACTGGATGCCCTAGAGAGAAATCCCAATTATCTCTGGGAATAGCGGCACTTAACTGAACCTTCTTTCACAAGGGAAAACTGTCATCTGTGTCTCTTGTGCTGGGGCTAGGATATAGAGGCTTTGAGAGCATAGCTTATATACAGAGCCTTGCACTAGCATTTTTGCTGATAGTCTGTGTTTAGGTTTTGGCATTTGGTCAACCTCAAAGTGAAAGTTAGCTGAACATTCAGTAAGTGGCCTGGGCACGGTGGCCGACACCTGTAATTCCAGCACTTTGGGAGGCCTAGGCAGGAGGATCGCTTGAGGCCAGAAGTTTGAGACCAGCCTGGGTAACATACCAAGACCCTGTCTCAAAAAAAAAAAAAAAAGATTCAGTACGTGAATGGGTGAATAAAATTATGTCGTGCCTCAAAATTCACTTCTGGTTATTGGGCTGCCTCTAAGTAATAATTGTGTTAAGACCATGTGGATAGAATCAGTGTCTCCTCCAGAAATTGGGATATGATTTGGGAGAGTCACCAAGGGTTGCCTGAGAAGAGCAGCCTGCAGCCCTGCGCTCCAGCCTAAGAGCCCTTTGCGCTGGTGACACGCTCCCCTCTCAGCTGGCCAGGTTATCCTTGCATGTTAAAGGACACACCTTTTTAAACCTGTTGCCTCAGTGAAAGATGTTGGTGCAGCGGTTCTCAGCCCTGGCTGCACATTAGAATCATTTGAACTTCGGAAAATATTCGTGTGTGGGCCCCACCTCAAACCAATGGAAGGAGTTTCTCTAGGGTAGGGCCTGGGTGTCAGGATTTTAAGTCCCTTAGGAGAACCACTGCTACTGCTTTTGCACCTCGTGAACTTTATAGCCATGTGAAAGACTGGACTCACTGCCCTCTCCCAAAAGCGGTTTCCTCTGAGAATATGAATTTGTAAGACCTTGTCCAGCGAGACCATTAGAGAAGCAGATGTGGGGTGGGGAAGTGAGCGGTGGGATTTCCATTTCCCCCGGGGAATCTTGCAGAGCCACATTCTTGCCGGATGCGTGGTGGGGCTGAAGAGCGGAGAGGTGCTGTGAGCTCTGGGCTGGCGACAAAGCAAGCCAGCTTCTCGTCCTGTGGCTTCTAACATCTAGCCGTGCTAGCTACGCTAACCCTCCAAGCCTCCGTCCCAGGCCACAGCCTGCGCGTGAACCTAATGGTAGTTTCAGGATTGTGAGGCTGGGAAGAGAGAGAGAGCCCTTCTCTCTTTGGGAGCCAAAGCTCTCTGCCCTCCTTTTTTTAATCTGCAAGACGTAGTGTAGAAGCGAGCCGGCATAGAATTTTTGCCAGTCTGTGCCTGCTTTTGTTAGGTCTTGAAACTCAAATCACCAACAATTAGCGCTTAGCAGTTAGCAGTTATGCTAACTAAAACAATTTGGGCTAATTAAAACCTTTCTTGGCTCATCAAAACTCACTGTTCTGCATCTGAGTGTAAATTAATTGACAGTGCGATTAAGTACAATGAAATTGTAGGGAAGAAAAAACCCACTGACAAACTTTTAAAAATCTTTATCAACATTTAAAAAAAATAGAGCCCAGACTTTCCATTTTTTGGAAAGGAACTCTGAAGCAAGCATGCAAACTGATGCGCTCCACTGACCTGTTCCCTCAGTGACAGCTCCTGGGTGCCAGTTTGCTCCTCTTCCTCTCTCATGCCACGTCCAGGCCAGCAGCGCCGTCTGCACTCTGTGCCCAGTACTGGGCCACTGCTCACCACCTGTGTGGCCGCTCTTCACAACCTGTCACCTTCTCAGGACTTTGTTCTAAGTCACCTCAATGAGGCCTTCCTTGGCCATGTCACCTAAACTTTCAACATGGTGCTGCATCCCCTTCAGACACATACACCTCATGTCTCCGTTGTTTTCTTTTCCTCTTTAGCACTAAACACTTTGTAACCTATTTTATTTTTGTTTCATTTTCAGTCTCTTCATTAGAATGTAAGTTCCACAGGACAAAGATTTGAATCTGTTTTGTTCTCATTGCCTAGAGAAGTGCCTCGCACTTAGTAGATGCTCAGTAAATAATTGAATGACTCAATGCATGAATCTTCTCCTGCAGGGCAGCTCCCACATTCTGTATTTTGATGTGAAAATTGGCGTGTTTCTAAATGACTACCCTGTAACAGATATACGTACTAACGTGCAACTCGACCCTTGGCTCGAAACCCAGGTCTCCACTCAGCAGAAGGCCTGCAGCCACTGAGCGCTTGGGTACCGAGCAGGTTCCACACTTGGTACAGTGGTGCCCTTTTTGAAGGAAGCAACCTCAAAGCCCCTGAAATGCACCAGGAACGCCCCTTCTGAGGAACTTTAACTAATGTTGTGTACTTACTGTATAATCATCTTTCAGTTGACACTATGAAAAAGGTGTTTTGTAACTAGTGAGCTTTTTTAAGATTATCGCTAAAATAAAAGTAGTGAATTTAAAAATCTTTATAAAACCTGTAGACTCTGAGAAGAGGTTCCAGGCAGAGAAACTGTAAGGCTTCACAGTCTTTTAGGGACAAGAGTTCTGGGGCTGGGTGAGGCCCCTGAAGGGAACAGTGACACCAGCTTCCTGGTGTGTATAATTCCGACCAGGACCACGCACGGCCCTGCCCGAGAGCCCCTCAGGACCTGACGGTGGAGGCCTAAGCTTGCATACAGTGAGCGTGG